TTTTTTTTTTTTTTTTTTTTATTCCACTTGGTCGTTCCAAAGTGGCGAGCGCACAGTCGAGCGCGGGGTGAGAGAAAAGCCAGAGAGTGTCGCCAAGGGGGGGGGGTGGAAGATGGGGCCTTGTCGACTTCCTGTAACTCTCGTTCGGTTTCAATGCATCCGGGAACGACACAAAAGTGCGCATTTCACATAATGTGGGGGAAGCTTCCTAGAACAGGAGCTGTGAACAAACTGGTGACACCTCTTTTTTTTTCATCTTCTCCACGAAGAGGTGTATGCGCTGTTTCGTTCCTCACATTTTTGTGCATCCTCATTAAGAGGGGCATCCCTCCAAGCGGCTCGCCACAGGAGTAGTTTTAAAGTTGGTAAAAGAGGCGAAAAAAAAGGGGTGAAAAAAAAGTTGGCAAAAAAGAGAGCGCAATAGTGGCGAAAGAATAGGAAAAAAAAAAAAAAAAAAAAATGCCAAAAATGATGACGAAAAAGTGGCAAATCAACACGCACCCTTTTGTGGGGGAGGACAAAGCCTCTGCACAGCCCAGTATGGCCTTCTTCAAAAACTGTGTAGCCGTTTGATCTTGTCACCAAAGGGCACAGGCGCAGCGCTGCTTCTAACCTCCCCCTCAATACACACACATACATACACACAAACATGCACACAAACACACGCACAAACATGCGCACAAACACGCGCACACGCACTAGCACACACCTCGGGGTCAGTAAAAGCGGCGTAGCCTAGACATATTGTTGCGGAGAGCCACGACGTTCTGCTTCTTCCACGAAATAAACCCAGGCAAATCGGAGTACTTGCGCTGGTATTTAAAATTAGGAATGAGCAAATGCATGGTGTCCTTTTTAAGAGGATTCAAAAGAATGGACAGCTGATCAATGTTGTTTTCAATTTTGCTAATGGACAAACGAAGAGAATTTTTTTCCACAGAAAAGCTACCCTTAAGCATATTCATTTTGTGCCTTAAATAAAGTAACTGCTCCTCCAGTTGAAATTTCTCCGTCTCGTAAACTTCCCTCTCCTGTTGCTTTTTTAACATTTCCTTGGCTCGAATGCACTGTTCATGAATAGCGCGTCGTGACAAGACGGTTAAAATTCTTTTCATGGTCAGCTTTACCTTTTTTAATCGCCCCGGTTGTACCATTTTAGTGTTATTCTGTAAGTGGAAGTTCTGCTCTCCTAGTAATTTATTTTTTTCCTTCAAGCATAGGTAGTAGAGCTTGTGGAGGTCATCGAAGCTTTTCTTCCTTAAGAGTACGCATGGCCATGCATCTCCCGTTTTGCTGTTTTCTACTTTTGTTTTCATGGGTACGCTGTCCAGGAAGCTGTTTTTCCATAGCTCCTCTATGCCCCTCTGGGGTACGAATTGCATCGCGCGCATCCCGCGCAGTCCTCGCAGCCCTCCTAGCGACATCGTACGGGAAGCGGCAGGTTTGCGTCGTTCTACCTCATGCAACGTATGTGCAACCCGCGTACTCCGTTGTAGCTCCCCCTCCCGAGGGATGCTTCACAGGGGGCAAAAATGGGACAGACGGCACTTCCACGGAACGAACGGGGCATTACCTCGTTGTACAGCGGGAAAAAACGAATGCCCCCAATAGGTATATACTCCTCCCCCTGTTGATTTAAGTGTGTTACTGCCTTTTCCCCTGATTCATAAAGTGTGTACGGAGTTTCTCTTTCCGTTCTTCCTTGGCGTTTTTATGAAGAGAACAGTCGGGGAATAGTCCTCTCACTCTTTCAGTATTGCTCGAAGCTGAGTCAGGTCGAAATGCCTTCCCACGGTTGCTCCCCCCTTAAAACTTCCAAGAGGGGGTAGCGTTCCTCCACCTTCTCCTTGCGCTTCCTACCCTCAGAGGGGGGCACATCACAAAAATGTATACTAGGATTAAATTTTAAAAAAAGGCGAATTGCTACTTCAACGTAGAACAGTTAGGCTATCATTTCAGATTCGCAATTATTATGAATACACTAATATCCTCAAGGACACCATGGTTCGTACCTTTTTTTGGGGGACGTACGTGTAGCGGAACATGAAATGGGGACTCTTATCACCGTTGAAATTATACACTGCTTACATTTTCCATTTACGCTTTTCTCTTTTCATGTGTCATCACCTCTGGGGTGTTTTATTTTAACCTTTTTTTTTTTTTTTTTTTTTTTTTATCACGACCGAGATACGGAACGAAGAATTTACCTGAACCCGTTACACTCCCGCTATACTCCCACTATACTACCGCTATACGTTGCGAATTTAAAAAAAATAAAGGAGGTGCGAGTGACGGGGGATGGTGTTTACGATGCGATGTTCTGTGAGGTGGGCGGGATAAAGAGCCTCTCGAACGTGTGTGTGTACATATACCTTCGTATGACTGCTGGTGGTTGCACTGCTTTGCGGATGAACTGCGTCGCTGGCGCAGCGCCTGTCACCCTGCCGTGTGTAGGTCAAACGCCAACAGAAGGTACAAGCGGGTTACAAGGATATTACGACGAGGTTACGGCGAGCGTGAAAGGAATATCGCGAGAGGAGGTGGCCCACCGCTGTAGGGGGAAGCGGACGTGAAACACGGTCTCCACACTCTTAGTACCAAATTAACAGACGCGCTCACGCATCTCCCATCATGACGAACATACTTTGTCAGCTCCTCTACAGTACCATCACATATGGCCGTTGCTACCCCCTTCCCCTTTCTTTTTTTAATTAAAAAAAAAAATAATAAAACTGCCAAATGAATCGCGAAAGGTGTAATGGTGGAAGGGACAAATACCCAGGATATGTGCTTTTTCAAAAGTGGAACAAATGCTTAACTGAGCCATCTTAAAAGGGGGGGGGGGAAAAAATTAGTATGACAAGCATTAACAAAATGGCGAAGTCATTCATAAGCTAGCGAAACGGCGAAACATGTGTATACACCCTTTTTTTTTTTTCTTCTTTTTTTTGTTTCTTCTTTTTTTTTCCCCCCATATTGAGATCCACAATTTGTGCATGTAAAGAAAGAAAAAAGAAATAAACTGGCCCTTTAAACATATATAGGTGTGGTGATATATCACCGTGTTAGCTGCGACGTGGATGGGCTCCATCGTAGTTTTCCCCAAGGAGACTGAATTGCCTTGTGGTATGTAAAAGGGTGAAAGTATCTCCTTTACCTTTGCGCGGGGTAAATTTTTGCATGTTGCGGTGTGTACGCAAGCGCGCGCCTGTGTTTCACCAGCGGGCTTGCATCGAGTTAGAAGTGGAATACCGTCGCGTGAACAGCCACATGAGAAGCATTTTAGTTTGAACCCCGTGCACCTACATATATCAACTTACCCAAACCTGCTTAAACATTTTTTTTTGTTTTTTTTTCGCTATTCATGACACGCCGCGCATGGGAAGCATGCAAAAAAAAAAAAAAAAAAAAAATGGCCCCATCCCTTAAGAAAGTGCATTATGCGACAAGTGTACACTTAAATAAGAGAAAAAGGAATGAGAAATAAAAAAGGGAGCGCATTTTGGTGAATCCTCAAAGAGACAAACTCGTGTCTACGTTACGCATTAATTATGCAAATATAGCTAAGCATGAGAGTACCCCCTTTTTTGCGGGGCTTTTTTTTTTTTTTATTTCGAAATCACTCTCCTAATTAGGTATAGCTTTTTTTTTTTTTTTTTTTTTTTTCGCTTGTCTTATGAGTATCCCTGTGTGTTCCTGGCTTCCTACAAATACGTTCTTATTTTTTTTTTTTTATCGGTGCCTTATGTAAAATAACTCAAAAAAAAAAAAAAAAAAAAGTACCCTCAATATATGCCCTTTTCGGTTTTTACTCGCGCTGATGGAAATTATGCCCCACGTGGATACTCTTGCGGAAAATGTATTTTCCTATGTAATGTTTCCCTGAAAGAATGGGACACACTTTTTTTTTTTTTTTATCGTGGAGATGGTTATATTTTGAAGCATCTGCACATGTGTAGATGAGGCTTTTTATAAAGTGCAGCATATGTTGATAGCTTGCCAGCTAGCCACCCAAGCGTACTTTTTTTTTGTTCTTTTTCTGTACGTCGTTTTCTCATGCGTCTATTGAGTGCCCCGTCCCCCTAAGTCCTGTGTACGCATTTGGAAATTCGTGGCTCCATTTTTTTTTTTTTTTTGCACTCGAGATTTTAAATTAAATGTGATAAAAAGAAATGAAATTGAAAATGAAATTGAATTAATTTTAAATTAATTTTAATTTATTTTTTTAATTCCAAATTTATTTTTTTTTTTTTTTTTTCACTCCATTTCCATTCAACGTCAAACTTAATCTTTCAAAATCTACACACAAGAAAAAAAAAACTTTTTAACAAGTTTTCCCTCCTATCTTGGATAATCATCTTTTTATTACAAAATCAGTTTTTCTTTTAAATTGAACTTTTCCTCGATTTTTTCGGCCAATTTTAAGTTGAAGGCCTTGAGATTCCTGGTGACGCATCTGGCCTGCTGATTCATCCCTTGTTGGGATTTCTGCCAAGGGGATCGTCAAGAGTCCTTTCAACATCCCTCTTACTTGCCTTGTTTAGAACCTTGTTAAGTGGCCTATTACTTTCCTTCCTACTTGCCTTGTTTAGAATCTTGTTAAAGTGCCTTGTTACTTGCCTTGTTATTTCCCCTGCTATTCTCCCTGCTATTTTCCCTGCTGTTTTCCCTGTTTAGAATCTTGTTAAGTGGCCTATTAGTTGCCTTGTGTAGAATCTTGTTAAGTTCCCTCTTGGCATCTTTTTAGAAGCTTTTTAGCAGCTTGTTAATTGCCTCGTCGAGAAACTTGTACACAACCTTGCAGATAATCTTGTACATGACCGTGTTAAGTGCCTTGTGGATAACCTTGTACATAACCTTGTGGAAAACCTTGTTAAGTGCCTTGTAGATAGTCTCGTTAAGTGCCTTATAGATAGTCTCGTTAAGTGCCTTGTGGATAACCTTGTTAAGTGCCCTGTTGGCAATCGTTTTGAGAGCCTTGTGAATGACCCTGTTGGGTGTCTAGTGCTCAGCTTATTATCTGCCTTGTTAATTCTTTACCTACAACCTTGTTCATAACATTGTTGAGATCTTTTTTAATGCCCTTGTTGAAATCTTTTTTAATGCCCTTGTTGAGAACCTTTTAAATGTCCTTGTTGAGATCTTGTTAATAACATTGTTGAGATCTTTTTTAATGCCCTAGTTGAGATCTTTTTAAATGT